GAAATTAAGCAAAACAAATAAAAAAAAAAACCCACAGAAACAAAAAAAATTGTCCCAACCTTCTGCCAAATGTAACCGCAAAATGTTTGCCAACACGTGTAAACTTTTTAAAGTTTTACCTGAGTGTGTCTGTGTGTGTGTGCAGCTGTAAGTGAGTGCAAATGTGTGCGCATCTGTCACAGGGTTGAACAACTTCTCGGTCACAGTAATTATCGTTTAGCCAAAGAGATTTAGGCACGAATTACTTTTAAAATCTCGTAATCTCATTTATTTGTTTTCTTTTTCAGAGATTCGAAATCAAATTATAAAACAACAACAAAGTTAACCGAAAATGGAGTCAAATATTGTCAAATAAATTACTTTTCAGATATGTGAACTCACAATGGCAACAATCATAAATTTAATTATAAACCAAGGAACTTGCAGGTAAATGAATCAAATAATAACGAAAACTTATTTATATTCCCCACAATAACAAACTTGAGATATACGAGAAACATTTGGCTGTTAATCTCTTGGAGAATAGTCCATAGTCTAAAGCTCTTACACCCTCTGTATCTCCCCTTGAGACAGCTTCCCAACAACTTTCATTACAATCCCAAGTTTCTGAAATGTTAAAAAATTGAAATGAAATTTTTGACTAATGGACCAATTAGAAATTATTTTCTACAGAATAAAAAATTTAAAATAAATCGATGCATTGAGAAATATAAAAAAAATGTAAAAAAGGAATGAAATTAATTTGATTTGATTTTTCTTTAATAAAATACTAAATTTTATTTTATTTTATATCCAATTAATTTTATGCATATAAATACATATCGATTTTAGATTTTTGTATAAATATAAAATAGCTTTGAAAATCAGCTTCAACACAAACAAATTTATTGCACTCTCAAAGAAACTTTATCCAATGGAATTACACATTCTTTGAACATTCAGCTTATTCAACTTATTTATTTTCACAATATAAGAGCTTGATTCAAGTAAACATTAGTTTGACTTTACAGCAACTTATCAGCAACTGTTTTAATCTCATGGTTTTACAGTCATTCGGCTTTATACTTTAAAATTGACTTGCCTTATCACAAAGCGTCACTTTAACTATTTTCAGCTGTTATTATACCTGAATTTACCTATTTTGAAACAGTTTAAAACAGACTCTTAAGTGCAGCTCGTAGTTAAAATACAAAATCGAAAAGCAATTTCAGCTTGTAAATGCGTTGGCTCACGCCAGAAACAAGATACGCAACACTGTCCAGCCCTAGCTGTACAGTGTACACATGCAGACACAGCTGCAACGTGTGTGTGTGTGTGTGTGTGTGTGTATTTTGTGTGTGTAATCTTTGTCGCATTGCCGTGAAATGTGCAATAAAGTCGCATGACTTTGGCTTTCGGCTTTGGCGCTGCGTGTTAAAAGTTGGCCGCAGAGCTTAAAAACAACAGCCAAAGCCAAACAAAACAAGCACGAGCCTGCTGATGAGTTTGATCATGATAATCATGATGCAGATGATGATAATGATGATGCCGATGATGATGATGCGCAAAGAACAAACAGCCATGTGCGGCAATTAAATGTCAAACAGGCGTTCTTGATGGACGCTTAAAATCAGCGCAACTGTCAGCTGTTGCAGGCAGAAGCTGCTGCAGCTGCTCTTCCATTTGGCCATGTCCAAGCAGCAGGCAGACGTTAGCCGTCACGAAACGGTCACACATGCAGGCACACACCCACACCCACACACATACAGACACACACATGTCACCTGGCGTTTAAAATGTACACCCATAAACAAAAGTGCAAACAAAGCCATAAACAAGCAGCAAGCGCAACTTCTGCATCCTTTCAAACCCCACGTCCTGCTGGGACACGCTGATGTCGTTTGTTAGTTTTGCCTGCTGCTGTTGCTGATGCTGTTGCTGTTGCTGCTGCATTGTGGCAGCCAAACATAAAACGCTAACAACAACCAGCAAACAGGCAGCAACATTCAATGGGGTTGACGCTTCATTCCGGTCGCCGGTCGCCTCAGTTTGTTAGCTTTGCTTTGTGTCCTGACTTTTATGGCGAGCGGGGGTTGCGGATGCGGTCGGACAGCCTGTCAGCGTTTTTCTGCGCTTTGTTTTTAATACATGTACGTGGCGCATCATTTATTATTTTTGCCACAGCAGCAGCATCATCCGAGGCGTCCACGCTGCGTATACGCAACATGGCGCATACGCAACATTGGCCACGGCATTCAGAGTTGGCCATTGACGCCCGGGTCCATGTCACGCACACATTAGTTAGGTTAGCACGCATCTGGCCACGCACACGTTGCATAAACATTTGGTCGCTCGCTAGCTCTCTATGTATGGCATGGGCGTGGTCATGCGTGTGTGCCTCGGATTAGGAACTAAATTAAATTTTTACATCAACATTTGCGCTTCATTAGAGGTAAGGGCCGAGGCGCCACAATGCCAAGTGTTGCTTCCAATGTTGAGAGGCCACTCGACTGGTCGCCTTTGGGACACACACACCCACACAGACGCACACACACACACACACACACACACAGCGAGCGAGATAAGCAGGCTGTGCAGATAAACGAGTTGAGTGTTATGTTGGGAAATGGCAGGCGGCAGGCGCCAGTAAATTAGCCCCAAATCGAGGTGTTGGGCCAAGCCATTCTCATCTCACAGGCACAGGCATGTAGTTAGTTATACATATACATATATATATATAAGTATATATTAAATTTACTGGCAAAAAAAAAACTGTTGAAATAGTTGGACAGCTGAGCAAACAGAGGCATAATTAGATATGCCTGAAGTAGGGCAGTTAAAGCGAACTTCATACGGAGTGGGATTTGGAAGGGAGTCAACACATTGCATATTTAAAGCAGGCAGCCAATGTGTGCTCTGAATATTTAAAGCAACAGAGAAATGTATGACTTTCTTTAAGCGTAGATAGTTTAGGCTCTCTCTGTTAAATATTTATTTTATGTTATTTTTAGCTACTTCAACTACAAATTAGTTTTAAGTTTGATAGTCAATCTAATCTATTGCATTACAAATAAAAGTTTTTTTTATAATGTAAGGTCCCTTACACCGAATTCACCCTACATTATATTCAACTGATTAGGATAAAGCAATGTGCATCTATCTCAATTCACATTTATTGATTGCCGCCACTTGCAGCCTGTCAAATATTTAATATGCTGCTGGAGTGTAAAGAAACAAGCAGAAAGAAACTTTAACTGAAGCATCAAGTTGGCAGCAGTAGACACAACGGACCAATATGAACTTTTGGCTTTTATTGGACATGTACTACCAATAACTGATAGCCACCATTTGCAGCTGCAGCCATTCAATTTTCGACCAGAAACAAAACCAAAACTAAGAAAAACCGACAACAGCAGGGGGAGAAGCAAAAGAAGTACGACGAAAATAAACCGCTGCAACTTTGAAGCCGAGCGCAGAGCAACTGACAGCTGGCACCAACTTATAACTCAGGGGGCATGGAGGGCGGAGTTTGCCCAACTGGAGCTGCTCTGTCTGTGCCCTAAGGGCAGCTGCTATACCAAGAAAAAACAAGTAAGAATGCCCTAGCCGGGAGTACACGACTACTAGATACCCTAAGCCCGTATACAAAGTTTGGGAAATGCAATCTTGACTAACTTCGCCGTTTATGGTCGGGTAGTTATGAACATTTCCGATCAAAAAGATGACATAATAAAATTATTCTCGAAATCGATATTTATCTAAATAAAAATATATAAAAGAATATATATTTAAAATTTTAAGCTTCTATCTTTGGCGGACAGACAGACGAATATGCGAAGACCGACTATTATCATTACCCCAGCCAAGAATATACATACTTTCGTCCGCCTGTCACCAACACTTGCACAAAACGATTATACCCTTTATACCCATTTTCAATGGGTTTGGGTAAAAAAGAACACTCAGTGGCAGAGGAACAGCCCAAAAGATACAAAACTTGCAACAACAAAAAAAGAATTAAGTAAAAAAGAAGCTGAAAAAAGTTTCAGTTACGTGCTGTTGCTTTTAATTGAATTTTTTTCCCAGTGCCTTTGCTGCTGTTGCTGCTAACTGGTCGCTGCGGTGAACCAACGCTCAGGCCAGCACATCCGCATCTGTCTGGCGCTTCCGCCGCGGCAGCAGACACCGACACCAAGAGAGCGGCAGCAGCAGCAGCAGCCGCAGCAGCAGACGTGCACTTGGAGTCGTGTCCAAGTGCCACCACAAACTGGAGGCAGTTTTCTTGTTATTTTGAAAGCGCCAAGTCGCAAGTCCTTAAGCGGTTTATTTTCCTTCACACTGATTTGCAGCTTGGAAAGTGTCCCAATGTTCGGGCATTTTGCTTCTCCTCTATCCTGTAGCCATTAAACTTAATGAGAGAGTAAGGGAAAGATGTCGTAAATCCTGCAACAGCTGTCGGAGACAGCAGAAAAAGGTGCGGTCTGAGCTCAAATGCAAATCAAGCTTACTTTACACTTTACCGATTAATCGGGACACTTAATGATATCGATAAAGGCGACTGTCAAGTAAAGGGAAAAACCTTGATTTTTGGTAATCATATTAATTATAGCTGATAATTAAGATCTCTTGGGAAGTATCGATATATCGATATATCGATAACACCTTACATAGCACTGACGATTACTTCCCCATTTTTGATTACCGTATAAAAGCTGAAAACTGATGTTTTTCAAAAATATCGAACTGTTGACAAACAGTTAAAACTATCGATAATATCAATTAAAAAAGAGATCGACTGCCAAAACTATCGAATAAGGAAGGTTGGTTCTGGAGCACCACCTCGCTGGCTTTTATAGATCAACACACAGTCGAGCATACCCAGCCATAGCGTGCTTGCATGTTTTCCCTTTTTAACTGCTCAAGCTTTTAATTAAGAAATTTCAATTTATCGCTGCCCATAGACTGCACTTGCTCACCGTCCGCGGACTATCATAATAATTTTATTTACCCACTCATTTAGTCGCGGGACTTGACTACGGTAAGTTGGACTTATAGGCTTGGCAACGATTTAAATGTCAATGTTTTTTTAATCTTCAGTTTATTCACAAATATTTCAATACCTACCGAAAAGCTCCTACTAATGTCAATGGTAGCTCCAAGCCCGGTTACAACTACAACAATGCTGGTGATTTATTTGCTGCTAATCGGTGAATGCTTTGCCTGCAGAGCCATTCATAAATCAGGTAAGATCACACAAAGTCCAAAAACACAGACAGACACTCACTTATAATTGGCTTTGACATTTGCAGACCTGGAATCGTGCTTCACGAATGGCGGAAAGTGTCGTGAAGTTAATGCCTGCCCAAAAAATAGGCAATCGTTGTTTAAAACGATTTGCATACATAAACATAAAGTTTGCTGTATGAAAAATGCACAACAATGATGGAAGCTATAAGCAAAACTGGAAAAGCTGGAGTATAATTGGAGCAATCAATATGGGGCGGTGTTTATATAGTTATGCAATCAGGAGTTACGTTTACGTATATGACAGTTACTGATAGAGCCCGCCTTATTACTAAATCAATGTTGAATGTATTGTGCTACTGAGATGCAATAAAGTGTGGACAAGTTCGATTAAGAAAGCCTCTGCAAATGCTTGCTCTGTGGAGTTTCGGTTATCGAACTGGGAGCTCATAATCGCAATTCGCATATGATTCATAGTTATACAACACTGCTGGTGACTTAAATTGAAACTTTTCTATAGGTTTTCACTCGCAATGAAACTCTCGAAACCTAACAATTCGTTACATTTAAATATATTCAACAAATTTATTAATTTTTATCCATCGTACTTTGCTAAAAATTGTTTTTTTTTTTTATTTCCGACAACTAAATTGGTATGCAAATAAGTGTATTATTTTTTGATTCAACACACAAATTTGAAACAATAAATATAAAATATAAATATAAATGCTTTCCGAGATTTTCAATTTTCAAAAGTTGATTGTTGGCGAATTAAATTCTTCTTTTCAGTTAGGAATTATCGCCCCTTATTCCTAGCTACGTACTATGTAAAATCTACACTAGCTAGTATTCCGTTTTCTCCACCGAACTTTCTCTTCGGGAACTCAGTGACCATTCCCAGCTATGAGTGGGGGCATAGCTTGCCGGATAGGCTATAAATTTCCCCCATTTTCCATCACTATCTCTTTATCCTATCGACTTAACACTCTATATATCTAGTATAAATTCCCTTACTTTATTAATAACTTTTTTCTTTTTTCCTATTTAATGTATTTTATAAAATAATATAGAAAATTAGGGTGACACTCGTTTTTGTCAAACATTAATAATTAAATAAATTAATTAAATAATTAATAAAACACTGTCAAAAGAAATCAGATTTTTATGTTAGGGTACTACTTGGTACTTAGTCTCTTGAATTTATGCCAGATTTCAACATTTTTTGATCAAAAAATATATCTAGCAAATGTTAAAAATATATTTAAGGCAATTCAATGTTTAATCGATTTTAATTAAATTATTTTTCCATGCAAATAAATGCCCAATTCGTATGAAATGGTCCAGCCTGTGCTATAGCTCTCGTTTAGACGCTTAGCATCGCCCCATTTACAGCATTGCACTTGTGTATGTGCGACTATACGAGTACGCAGCAGCAGGCAGGAGCAGATTGTGGGCCAAATGACGTCACTAAAATCAGGTCAACGCCAGGCGCAGGCTGAGCACAAAAAACCGTGTGCGTTTTGAAGGCAGCAAAAACGGCAATTCACAGTGCTATATTTGTAAATATGTATATATACATATATATGCTACATATAAATATAAATATATATATTATATATATATATATAAGTTTTACGCTGTTCACAGCATGAATGAGAGCGTATGGCTTATAGACAATGTCCGTCTTGCGGTCTGTCAATTAATCACGCTGAAATTAAGAATCGATATTTTGAAAATTTCACAACTAATCAATTCTAGTTTATAGCTATATTTGGCCATTATTAGCTACTTTGAAAAGTATCAAAATGTTTGAGGCAAAAAACATTGCCCATTGCAAAATGAACAACCTGAATTAGTCACAGTTTGAATGTCACTTCCTTGGCTTTACAGTTTTAGAGTCTCGCCTTCAGCTACTTTTAGCTATTATTGCGCTGTTAACAGAGCATTGCGCAGTCGGTTGCAGCCCATTGCAATGTTCGCACTCGCTTCCTTCATTTTTTGGGTTTAAGCGCAGCCTTGCCCCTAGTCTAGGTTCACGCTCTCGCGCTCTCTCTCTCTCTCTCTCTCTCTCCTCCTCCTACGCTCTTGCTCTTTCTCTCTCTCGCTCTCACCTTGTCTTAAGGGTCTTGGTCATTAATAGTCGACAGTTCGTTTTATTTTGTCTCGACCGCCCACTGCTTTTTGGATTCAGTTTATATATTTTGCGGGCTATTTTTTGTTGTTTTTTGACATTTTTTCAATTTTTGCTGCGTTGGGTAAATTACTTGTAAATTCAGATTATGCGACCGCTAGAAAGACAGAGAGGGAGCGAGCGCCTAACTAGATTGTTGTGTGTGTGTGTGTGCGGAGGGGTTCGTGTTGGGAGGGGTCTCTCAAAAGTGACTGGCATTTGTTTTCCATATATTGATTGCTTTTTAATGGATTTTTCGTGGACTCTGCAGCATAAGGTGTCCATTTATAAAGCGCGCACTCACTCTGGCCTCACCCCTCTCCCCATCCTGCCTTGTCAGCAGTGTTCTTTGCTTGTATTAATTTTATTTACATAGTTAAATGGTTCAATTGTTTGACTGTTGATTTACTGCTGGAATTTCAGACAGCCAAAATTAATTGTTTGATTTGTGGCCAGCCTCGATGCGGCATAGCTCAGGCGCATTTCGTGCTATATACCATAGGCTAGATCTAGGTCAGCTGCGTGGGTTTGCTCTGCTGATTTACGATTTTATTTGCACAGTTTATAGATAGAAAAAAAAAAAAAGGGAGAGAAGAAAAAAAATGCTGACAGACGTGGCATGGCAGCTGCCACTCTTATGAAGTTTTCCCAGAGATTTTCCGCTATTCTTGCGATTTATTTTTTATTATTTTGAACTTCTCATGCATGCGTTTAGTCAGTCAGTCAAACGTTTGTTGTATGTCAATCAGGCAGGTAACTGGCTGCAGCTAAAATGTAAGACCTTGTCGCACAACAAAACAATAACAATAGACTTGTACCCACACACACACACACACACACACACACGCACGCAGACACCCGCACACACACACCGGCGCATAATACTCACCACGCTTATGCTCTTTGGGTGGCAGCAACTCTTTGGCTGCCAGCTAGTTGTTGTTGCTGCCTCTCTCTCTCTCTCTCTCTTTCAGCTTTCCGTTGGAGAGCCCTGCCACAGCCTCTCACGCATTCCATAGGCATGGCAACAGCCACGACAACGCTAGCTTTCATCTTTTTTCTTTTTTTTTTTAGCACACGCGCCTGACTTGATGCCAGCCTCAGCGCCTTTCCCGCCTGCCGCAGCCGACCCGTCGCGCTGGCCGCCTGTCGACTGTCAAATCAATTTGTCAGAAATCACTGACAGCTGCTTACAGCCAAAACACACAAACATGGCCCAGGCCACAGCCGCAGAGCCCGGCTCAAAGCCCATACAGCAGCAGGCGGCGTCGCCGCCGCTGCCGCCTTCCTCTGCCGCTCCCAGCAGAGTTGTCATGGCAAAAATATAAATAGAAAGAGCAAGAAAAACAACAAAATATGTTGCATACAAAATAGCAATTGAACAAAAAAAAAGACGAGAAAAAAGTATTGCCTGGAGTGTAAATTATAGCGCATATTTTTCCATTTCTTTTTGCTTTCCCAAATTGCTTTGCAGATTGCCGCCATTTGAAAATTGTCTACGGCATATCAAGCACTTTCGACATTTACAACTCATTTCTGTGAAATCTCTACGCACCAAGCGCTTCTTCTGCTTCCTTCTTTTTTTCAAGTTCGAAGCTGACAGACAAGCGCCTTTTGTTTGCATGTCCTACCCCCCCCACTCCACACACGCTCACGCACACACGCTCCGCTGTGTGCTGCCAGCCGTATACGTAATTTCGCAGACAATAGCAGCCAAAGACGAAACCCCAAATGCAAAAAGAAAAAAAAATCAAGTAAAGGGGAGAGCGAAAATGGAATAAGAAAAGGTCTATGACTGAGCATTTTTGATGCCCTAGCCGGTGTGAGCAACATGCTATTTTAGACAATCTGTTGGATATCGATAGGGTTAATTATAAACACAATAGAAAACGGCGCTGTTGTGCAAATATTTTGATATTATAGCATAAAAACATATTTCGATACATGTAACTTAGATGTAGCGAAGCTTATTCTTTGTTAAATCAATTTAAATGCAGATAGAGAAATAGCTGACATCTCAGGCCAACGTGTAAATCTAGTCTAGTCGCGCCAAGTTTAGGGAGCGAAAATTCGGAAATATGGCAATTAAACCAATCGGATTTTAAAGCTTCAATTTGAAAAAAGGATAGTTAAGCTTCTTAACGTAATATTTTATGCATGTCAACACGTGTCGTCTGTATTTCGTTACAGTCAATCTTAGTTGGTTCGTTATTTCACAATCTCTTTATAAGTTTTTCATTTCACAACCGAGCTGGTTCGCCGATATCTCGATATCCCTCTCTTGCCTATCGATAGACCGATTTTAATATTGATTGTTGACATGGTTATTCTATCAACTAATAGCCTGATTCCACTAGCCTCAAAAAAATGATACATTTACAAACTTCACATTTTGCGGTTCCATTTGCAAGTATCCCTTCCGCTTAAATAAACAGTTGATCGGTTTGATTTGATCTACCTAAGCGCCGCAAAGATTTCCCCTTCAAAAGTCAAATGATACGGCCTCAAAGTAGGGGCTAGATTTAATGGACTCTTTGGAATATTTGGCCATCTTTAAATGTTAAAAACCTGTGGAATTAGTCAAATTTAAAATTGTAATTGCCTTTGTTGCTATATCAGCTGTTTATGGTAATGATACTTTAATTTTCTTTTTTTGAGAACATCGATACGAAATTCGATAAATCATCCCAAAAAACACGAATTATTCGGGACAAATGTTAACACTTTATGAAAATGTCACATTTTTGGCAAATGTGAAAAATGTGTTTTCTTCTGGGAAAACGTACAGACAACATTTTTCACATTAGAAAAAAATGTAACATTCGCAAAATTAGGATTCTGTTTAAGTTTCAGTAGATTCATACTACATTTAACATTCGGTTATGCTTGAATTTAACATTTGCTTATGCAAAGACTTAAATATAGCACCCCATAAAAAGACACTTTCCTGACGAACCGAGTCTGCAAAAATTTTAGGCTAAAAAAAAAAAAAAACAATCGCAATAAAAGAAAAACGATTCAAAAAGTTTTCATATCGGATCATTTGAGCTAGTTCCATTTAGTCACAAATGTCTATTTTTATTTTATCTAGAGCATCTTTGAGTCGAGCATACCCTGCATTAAGTTCGTAGTGTTTCTTTGTGTATTGGACATGCCAGCAGCAGCAGCTACAACAACAACAACAGCAGCAACAATGGGCAACAACAAAAATCGGTAGCATGTTTGCTG